AACAGAACTACAGTACGATCGACCACGTGGGCATTTCAGTGAAGAATAGAATTATCTCAACAAGGAAATGAACTCGCAACTTTGATGAATATTCATATTTTACCTTGAAACATTTTGGTAACCTAAGTAGTAAGGTCAACGCACAAAGCGCTAAGGTCAGAATTCACTTCCGGACCGAGACAACAGAATTTTTTTACCATCTAAAGGAAAGTTGTGGTTATTTTAACACTACATGGTATCAACTTTCATATTTTATTAACCTCTGTGACTCAGATTCAGCCTAAACTGACTTCACATAAAACTTTATGTCCACTTTACGAGTTGATAATAATCGCATTGCTTTAAAAAGCTTGTTATAAAAATTTGTTGCTAAGACAAACTTCATAATGGTAATTATGTAATGCTCTCTTTGACATCATACTAGCTTGTAAAGAAGAGAAAGGAAAGTAAATCGAAATAATGCAATCATTTCTTCTTGTTTATTGGGGCTGCTGCACCATCTTACAGAAAATCTAGTTTAATATATTTTGCGTTTCAAGTCACCTAGTGAATTCAGATAAATTTCACTGTTTCTGCTCGGTATCTTTGTTAACGAAGTGAGAGACATATTCCACTGATGAAGCTTCTTGCGAGAATAGGGCTGACTTTCTAAAAAAAAAGAAGGGAGACACACTTTTAAATGCATATCACTTTCTTCGGCTGGACCACCAACTAGTAATAAAACACGTTTTCATATTCCTGGCTCAATAAGGAATATCCCATAAGTATGAGCTCATAGGATAATTGTGTTATTTGGAAAAACACGAAAAATGTTTTGGTTACCTAACCCAGGTTCGGGACTAGTCCAAAACATTAGATTTCGTGTCCTCCATTTCACCAAATGGCTGCAGTAGTACCAACTTCCTAAACGCTGTGTTTCTAGTAACACTTAGACGATGGACGAAGTCCGAACACGACCTATCGCACCCTCATCAAAAACCTTCAAGTTATAGGAATAATTTGTTTTTAAATGCATTCCCTTGAATAATGCAAACAAAACTTGCGGTTGTAGACTTTCTAGGTTCTTCTGATTCTGGCATCTGATGTTGAGTGTATTCCTCAAGCCGTTACGTCTTGGTGACCATACATTATTCCTAGACACAGACCAGCGTGCGCTTTTAGTGCCACATCGCGTGACCACCTAGGAAGTGACCTGTATTGGCCAACATTCCTGATCTTCACACAAGAATGCTTCCTCCACCACATAAATCTTGTGGAGTTGCAAGCGATGAATCGAATGAATTGTTACGACGTACTTCACCTGCCTCACGACCGTCTGAGCGCCTTAATCAATTCAGTGCTGGAGTTACAATTCATATCGAAATCCCCCCCCCTCCTCGTGCTTGGAAAGTTGCATGAGCAGCTGAACACATTAATTAATTTCCTCACATTTTTTATGGACGTAAATTTCCTTGTCCCACTACAAACACTTGAGGCTTGTACCAACAAACACCGGCCCGCCTACATCTTTGCAAAAATTTTAACACAGTGGCTAACTGACGACTGTAATCTGTTTCAGTGATTCTCAACTGTAGGTTATCGGACCCCTGGAGGACCTCAAGTTGTTTCTAATTAGTCCACGAGTTGAGTAGATTCTACTCTTTTGCTTTTATACTGCAATGCTGCAAGTTTCATGTTTCCTATCACTTGAAAAAATACCTTAATTTAGTCTGTATCCTATTTGATCCAATTTATTAAATACTTTTTGTAACGTGTCCACTGTATCGGGAAGTTTGAAGAACACTGATCTGTTTGAAGTGTAAAATGTCAAAGAGTTTTATGTTTTTAACATGGCAGATCAATATTTTTAGTTAATCAATACATTAGCCTCAGTTACGGACTTTTTTCTACTAAGCTTACAAGTAATAATTTACTTGATATGTAATATCATGACCCTCGGCCGTGATAGGAAAACTAGATTCGACCCGAGGCTGCTTAAAGGTTGATCATGCCTGTCCTAAGGTAATGAGAGCAACTGTTTCTGAACTAGTAGCCGGATGAACCTGTTTCAAAATTATCTCGAGTCTAAGAGCCTTACCACAAGAGCTTTGCAGCTAAATATTTTAAGCAGTTGTTACTTGTATTCAATTAACAGATATAATTTCACAGACAGACCTCTATCAAAATAAGTAAGACCAGTTCATTAACCAACTCTATGAAACACAGTCCTACTTCAAGAGTTAACTTTCACTCAGCTAGTCAGAAAATTCCCCACCTGAAGTTTCATTACCGTGTTCTTAGCAGGTTCGGCTGTAATAGTCTGGATTGTGGTTGCTATATTTCTTGCAATACTTTTTTTTTAGATTTATAACTTCAACAAATTCAAAACGAAACTTACATCGACGAATGTGAGATTACGCTCCTTTTAATAACTCAAAAAGTTGTTCATAAATCAAAAGTCCGAAAACGAATAATTCGTGATTATTTAACTATATTACGACAAATAGAAGAATACGTAATTTTCAGCTATTTAAGGAACACACATTTTAAAGACATGTGCATTTTGTCGTACTGTAAATATACAGGTCATACGTTCGAAACTGCTTCCGGGTAATGTTATTAAGGATATATTAGCTACTGTTAACTGGTACTGAAGATATCCTCGGTTTAGAGCGAGATGCTGGTGAAAGGGCCCATGGATGAATCGACGCAGAGCCTTTCACAAGCCTCACGTAATATGTTGAACCAGCTTAAGTATTTCTGCATTTAAGACACGCGTCACAATTATGAGTCAACCTTTTCATTCTGCGAAATGACTGACACCTAAAATAAATTAAAATTTTGAATATTGCTGTGTTCTGGGAAGTTACATAATGTAGTGTTGTAAAAGTTTACCTCCGTCATCAGGGTGATGTCCTTAATCATCGCCCTGATGATAGAGGCAGCAGGCACCCCCGACACGTCTATAAACTTACATTAGTCTACACTGCGCATCAACCCACAAGTCAGCCATCTCTTTATCGCCGTGGGAAACCAAAATTTCACAAATGAAAATGATCCCCGACGGAGGCAGAGGATTTTTCCCCTATCCTCTGCGTCAGACCGGCTCTGGGGCCCACCCAGCCTCCTCTACAATGGGTACCGGGGTCCTTTCCCGTGGGTAAAGCCGGCCGGGGCGTGATGCTGACCACCCACCCCCCTCTAGTGTCGTGGTCAAGGAAGAGAGGAGCTATACCTCCACTCACCCCAAACGCCTACTTTGTTTGATACACAAACACATTTTAGATAATTATATACATAAATCCTCCCTTTAAGAAGAAAATACATCAATAACAACGAGGTTATTTATAATACATAGAATGACTATCACACTGCACTGTCAGAATGTTACGCGTGTTCGTTTAAAATACGAAAACGTCAAAAAATGTTTTGAATGATAACCGTAGAGATTAATAAGATCTAAAATCTATGCCTGTTGAATGTAATAAGTTCATTACTGTGAACTCTCTCAGAGTTCCTTGTAAAACAGGAATTAATATTAGACTGTTACCGCTGAGAGAAACATAACCGCCATCCGCTTGGTACTGTCGGTGGTGAAACGAACAGACAAACACGTCGAGGCCTAAGCTAGTCAAAATCTAGCCCACTGTGCAATAAACTCGTCATAACAAATGCCATAGAAAAAATTGTAAGGATTAAGAAAGTTTACACTTTGCTCTCATTTCCTGCTAAATAGACATGCACTTTGATAATTAAGACCCATATACTTTCGTCATCAGTAATTTATACTTTCTAGTCACTAAGAATGATTAATGTATCCACTGTGTTCATTAAACTGCACTAAACATTCTCTGTAATTTTATTTCACAAACTCTATTAATTAAACTTAACTAAAAACACCGTGAAGTTTAAACATGCCAAAAGTATCTTCATTGCTGCAATTCGTAAAGAGTCAAAGGCTACTTTTGTGCCCCGTTATAGAACTAGAAATCACCTTCCCCTTTATCTGTCTTATTACTGAACTGTCAGTAACTTAGACCCTGTTTAACCGATCTAGACGTTGTACAGTTTCTTTCTAATCACCCATCACACTACGGACACAAACTTAAGAACTTCACAGAAGAGTTTAACACTTTGAAGCCGAATGAATGAGAGACAGAGAGGAGAGAATGTTGGGAGGAGTAGTGATCAACCCTAAAGATGGCAACTGCAATATTGGCCGAAACGTTGGATAATTCTCAGCACTCGACGCGGCTCATTCTCGAAAGCCGGAATTGTACAAGAAATTCATTACCCTGATCACAAGATGCCGTCACTGGACCCTATCCGGATTAGTATAAATCCAGTTCCACTATTTCTTAAAGACCAAAATCATCTTCCAAAAAGTTCTAACTCTTCTGTTTTTCCAACTAAAATTTTATGTGCACTTCTCAGGTCCTTTCGTTAAGCATTATTCAATTTTGTTCTTCTGGAAATAGATGAATGGCAATACGTTTATCATCATGAGAATGACTGTCATCAGTTTATGGAAACTTAGCAAGAATGCAGTCTACCGTTAACGCCTGAAGTCTGTTTTAAAGTATTTATACTTTCTGACAAAATAAATACCACAGGGAAACTGATTTAGCTACAGATGTCGATTATGATATTCTTGATTGAAGATGGCGGCAGCAAATTCCTTTGAAACGTTATTACCCACTCATAAGTTCTCACATGTCAAACCCTGGAAGACCAACATGTCTTCACCGCCGTGAGAATCTCAGAATGGCATGTGCTTTACAGATGTCTTCCTCACATGTTGCGGTGTTTCTGTAGGTTATGTGCATTCTTTCTTCACTTCAAGAAACTTTTCCTAAAAGTCAGCAGGCTAGCCATTGGCCATCAAAAGAGATTAATCTATGTTTCTCTTGTCCTTAAACACAAGAGAATATATTTTGCACGACAGAAGACGTGTTAAAAATAACTGTTCCTGTAATTTTATTGATACAAATTCAATCCAAATATTAAACCATTAAACTTACCTGATACAGCAGAAATTCCACACTTTCACGAGAAGTTAAATGTCTGACACACAATACGAATTAAATTACGAGTCGCAGAAACAAAACAGATTTTACACCTGTCACATCGGAGCATCGACTGATGACGGTGAAAGAGACCAGATGAGCGACTGTGGGGTCGCCCGCGGGTGCATCCTGTCTTATATACCCGTACGATGGCTGTCTGACGTCACACGTGGGTCAGCACGTAACGGGAATGCATCTGCAGCAGGTTCTAGGGATCTTAATGCTTCTTTTTCTCATACGCCTATTAGAATTAGCATTTATTACACATTAAATTAATTTCATATTCGCTTAGAACACAATGTTGATGCTTTTAACGTATAGAAGTCTCGTTGGCATCTCCTTCCGAAAAATTACGAGTTACGCATTCAGATAACTGCGGTCTCTTAACAACATGAAGCATCTTCCTAACGGAGAATCTAATAATCGCTCAGCTAATGAAGACATTTCCCGAATGTTATGGTATGCGAAGATTCATTACCTTATTTACAGCATTCTACTTAGCCCCTCGCTCGTCCGTCCTGAGCCAAAATAATTCAAATCAGATACCCACTATTTCTTGAAAATACATTTTGATTTTATCCTCCCATCTGTATCTAGGTCTCCAAAATTTTATCTTGCCTTTAGGTTTGCCGATTAAAATTCTGTATGAATTTTTGATTTTTGTTGAGAATGCTTTATGCCCTGCGCATCTGAATCTCAGTTATTTGAAGACCAATGGCGGATCATGACTTGTTCAAGTGTCGTTTAAATCCCGAGCCAGGAGTTGAGAAAATTTTGGCAATTGTGTATATACTTGTAAGATTTGAGGTTTTCACAGCGGTGAGTATGAAGATTTCTGTCTTCTGGGTTGTTGCGCTGTGTAGTCTGGTCGATGTTTACCAACGTTTCGGAGGTCATACTGCCTCCGTCATCGGGGCGGTGAGTATGATATTCTATCTAAGGGACCCAACGGAGTAGGTACCTCTCACCTGAAGACGGAAACAGAACCAGCCTCCGAAACGTCGTGATTTTAAAGAACAGACGATGGAAAAAGTCTTGACAATGAATAATTTTAAGTATAAACTACCGTCGTCAAAACCCCTTAGAATTGAATAAATTAAAGAATCAAGTATCGATACTGTTAGAGTGAAATCAAAATGAATTTGGCTTTGTAACACATTTTGTGATGTTTATTCTCTCAGAGTATTGTGTTAGAGGCATTGATTCTGGCAGTAACAGTTACATTTTCCCCTTAAGTACTTAATGTCTTTGCTTTGAGTGTTTCAGCCATTTGTAACTGTTTATATTAAGAGTGGTCTCGAGCACTGCTCAGTTTGCAGTGACCAAGATGAAGCACATCACTCATACGATGTGTTCGCCTGCAGCGTATTTATTTTGAATAGCTGATTACTGTTGCATCAATATATATGACATCCAGCTTAATTTTAAGTAATATAACAACATTTATTAGGGGAGACTGAGGAAACCCACAGATAGTCTAAATTATGATAGTGAATTCCAGGTGATATTTCGATTAGTCACTTCAATGCAGTGCACCACAACAGGTGTGTCACTACAAGGCTTCAGTTATGCCGGGAATTTTAAAAAATTGCAGGCTATATTCGCATTTCATAGTTATAAAAAAGCAATATGTTATCTTTCGTGTTTAGAATTCGATATACACACATGCGCACACATTTATGGCCATGTACAATTTTGAACCTCGTTTCTTATTTTGTGAGGTAAGATTTTCTGACGTGTCTGACAAATTAGTGTGTGCAGCGAGTGAACAAAAGTTTGCGGATCACTGCTTTATCCTGCATGCTCAGGGCTGAAGAAGAAGGAAATATGTTATCCGAAACGTCGATGTCTACCCACAAGTCCACACGGCGACATTACCCAGACGACTGACAGCATCTTAACCCTCATAATAACCACAAATCTCACAAACTCTTTCCATTATAAAGGATAAACGATATTACTAAAATGTTACCAGTGACTATTTCTGAGACGTGCATTACGTGTCACAGTAAATTTTCACTGGATTGTGATCCATAACGTCATAAGTTTTAACAGAATTCAAGCAATACTCACATTTTATTTTTGTATGCTTTTCCGTACGCCATAAACTTCGTCAATCTTTATGTATCGTGTTTAACAGAAATGGCCACACGAGAACTGCTTTCAGACACACAACCCGTTTTTCTGCGTGGTGGGTTCAGTTGCCCAACAACTGTAATTGTCGAATGGTTTCTTAGGGTGACGGCCCACTTTGATGTATCGGAACAGCAGCCAGCCTGCTAGTTTCATTCACTATAAACACACTTCTCGTGAGACCGCAAACATTTTAATTGCGACTCATTCACGTTGACTTGCCTACATAAAAGCAGACACTTCACAACAGTATCTGCAGTGTACAGTTGTGTCTGATGACGACAAATCCAGTCTTAAAACAAACTCTCGACAGTTCAACGCTCCATATTAATGAAATGTCACTGTACTTGTCAAAACTATTATGTATTGCCCTACAAGTAAGTGAGCTTGCAGAAAGAGCTGACAATTTCGTAGGCTACCAGAAAACAACAAAATTGCGAATAAGAAGATTACTTTAAATCTCTTAATTTTATCTTTGTTGCTTTTCGTGCATTACTGGCCTTGCTGTTTATTTATTGAGAACACAGACATATTACTGCAAAGCTACATTACACAATAAACACACTTTTACACTATTAACACAGCACAGCATGAAGATAAATATATTTTTTCTTTATTTTATTAAACATGTATGTGTTTATTATTATTATTATTATTATTATTATCATATATAGTGTTCTGTCTGACGACAGGTCCATATGAACAGGATCCTTCCATCCTTTTCATATACGTTCTTGGCAGATAATCCAGAAGTGGTTTGCCATTGCCTTCTTCTGTGTGTGAATGGAGTAATTGTTGGGATGCCACGGAGAATGTGTGATATAGAATGACTTAAATAAAAACTTTAGATCTTAAAGTGATATATTTTACATATTTAATTTATTGTTATAAATAACTTTTAAAATAGTATAAAATTCGAATGGAGTTCCATACAGAGTAGTGGTTATGCTGGAGCGCGTCCCACGTCTAGCATTAAATAACAATACCAAGTTTAGTCGAAATTGTTCAGTAGTTTCAGAGATATGCTTGGAAAGACGAGCAGAACAACCTCCCCCCCCCACACACACACACACATTACGGGTTAGTTTCGTGCACAGAATGTAACTGCAACTAACTAATCAAAACCCTTAAAGCGGAATCCTTATTAAGTGCTGATAGTCGCTTAGCTGGTAAGGAAATTTCCCAAAGTTTAAAGATACTGAAATTCCTTTACCGTGTTTATAAAGATTTGACAATGGACCCTATCCTGAGCCGGTTTAAGCCTCATCTACTGTTTCTTTCAGATACATGTTATTTTTATTATTATTCTTCCATCTACGAACAATTAATCCTTTTTACAGTATAGTACAACAAAGAAAAACAGAAATGAAACCGCACTAAAATTCGTAACAAATATTTTTCAAAAACTTTATAACGCATACATAAATCGTGTTTGTAACGACAGCTACAAATTTGTTATTTGTGTTTAAAATATTTGTTTTTAGTGATTCAGCTGCTCATTGGCAAAACGCTCTTCAGTATTCTGCACATGAGCAAACGCCCTTTATTGTACTCAGTGACTTCACTGCGGTGTTATTTCAATAGCGCATGTTGGCAATAGTAATATTTCCATTTGCATATTTCACCACTGTCCATCGTCTAAAACAATAGAATTATTCAAGGAAAACAGTTGACATTTTAGTCCAGTCTGCTAATAAAAATAATTCATTATAGATGCTGCTGAGCCTAATTTTATGAGAGTAATTCTGAAACTCAAAAACTTCACTTGTTCTTTTACGGAGTTTTATCAAAAACGCCATGCGTGCAACAGACGCCTGTTGGGAAGAGTCACGCCAGTCTGAACACGATCTTGGTCACTGGACCGGTACGACCCTGCTGCAACCAATGAGGCGAGCTGCTGCAGACCAACTTCTACTTAGTGTCGCTGATTTGTTGATCACGCAAATCTTTTCATCACCACTGAAATGTATGCATTTTTTCCCCATCGTTTGTGCTACATGCAATGTCAGTACATCATCTTTTAATTTGGTAACCACGGTGGCGGACAGAACAAATTACGAAGTTCCTCAGAGTGTAATTGTATCCTTCCTCTTGCGACTTCCTTCATCTTAGATCCGAACATACTCCTGCTCTCACACGCACTAAATCTTCACTTCTGTAAGGTGACGGACAAGTTCCACGCCCGTATATAATCTAAGACAGACTCTTTGTAGAAATATGCAAAGAATGTAAAGATTTTTACCTTTTATCTGAACACTAGTGTATATGGTAAATGTTTAACGAAAAATAATAGAAAATAATGTATATTTCTATGCTGTAATAAAACTTCACATTGTTCAATAAAATTCATGTTTTATAGCTTTGCAATCTGCGTAAACTAGGTCAGAAAAATGCTTTAATTTGTGAGCGATGTCGCAAACTTAATAAATAAATAACCTAACTAAACTGCCTCAAAATGAAAGGAAGAGGAAAGTGAAATCAAGAGATTGTAAATTAAGTTCTTAGGTTCGGACAGATAACAAAGCACCTAACGCTGACAGCTAATTTCACTTCGCAACAAACGAGCATGCCTCTCTGTTCGCGACTTCAAATTAGGATGTACGGCCTTGATAGTGCGATACAGCCCGCTTATAGATCCGGAGGTGGTTTACACAGCTTCCGCAACGACCCTCTGCGATACCATATGTAGACACCCAGAACCCAGTTGCAACGTGTAACCCACATTAGCTGGCTTACGAGCGTTGAGCAATCAAAGTGTCAGTGGACAGTCAGGAGGGATGTGAATGAAAGCGGAATGTTACAGAGTGCGTGCACTAATAAAGTTGAACGCAACTGTAACTTCCTGCCTCTCGGTTGGAACTGCATGACTCGCCGTTAAACTTTAGAAGATATTCCCCCAATACGAGTCAATCATCCTTCCATAAAAGCAATAAAATCAGTTTACCTACATTATAGCAGTCCTGTCTGGATTCAGGAAGTGACAGTTT